TGATCTACTTGACCACCCTGGCAGGGAACGGATCTATTCTCATGGCCATAGGAACAGATGCTCACCTCCAAACTCCAATGTACTTCTTTCTGAGTAATTTGTCACTGCTGGACATCCTTTGTCCAACAGTCATTGTACCAAAGATGCTCCAAATATTCTTGTCAAAGGACAAGAAAATATCCTTTGTTGGCTGCGTACTGCAACTATTTTTCTTGCTTGATGTATTGGGCACTGAAATCTTCTTGCTTGCAGTGATGGCTTATGACCGCTATGTGGCAATATGTAGTCCTTTACATTATGCTACTATAATGAATAAACAATGGTGTATTCAATTGATGGCTGGAATTTGGCTATTGGGCTTAATTAATTCTGTGATTCATACCATACTGATCTTTAGATTGTCTTTTTGTGGATCTAAGAAACTCAACCAATATTTCTGTGATCTTCAACCTGTGATAGCTCTCTCTTGCTCTTCTACTTACCTTGTTGAAGTTGTTCATCTACTTGTTGCCGGTATTATAGGTAGTGGGGCTTTTCTGGTCACCCTGATCTCTTACATCTACATAATTTCTACCATCTTGCGCATGGCTTCCACTGAGGGGAGGCACAAAGCCTTTTCCACTTGTGGTTCTCATTTAATTGTCGTATGTCTTTTCTATGGGGCCACCATTGCTACCTATGCTCGTCCCACCTCTTCTTATTCAGGCAAACAGGGCAGAATAATTTCCATGCTGTATGGGATTATCACTCCCATGCTGAACCCTATGATATACAGTCTGAGAAATAAGGAAGTTAAAAAAGCATTGTATAAAACCTTCAATCTGAAAATATTTTCATAGATATCTTTCCTTATTTAATTATCAAAATATGTTAAGTGTTTAAAGTATTGGTTTTTCTCTGATCCAGTCATACTGTCATTGAAAAAAGAATTAGGTGAGCACTAAGGTTGCCTGCTTTTGTTCAATACTTGTGGAAAAGATCTTGGGAAACTGGGCAAAGAGAGCTGCCAAGGGTATGGCCAGGTAAGAGACAACATAGCCTGCAGTGCAAGAAGCATAGACAAAACACTCCTTTGTTTTTTGGGCAATAAAGGAAATGGTGTGTGTGTGTGGGGGGTGGGGGGGTGGGGGGGGG